GATGTTGGAAGTGTGGGGGGGGGGACATGCCCCACCCTGTACGTATGGCAGTTACGCCCATGCTCTGCAGTATAAACATGAAAATAATACAAATTGTTTTGTTAAGAGAAGGGACAATTTTACTTATTTATTTTCTGTTTTAGAACGGAGAAATAACTTTCCTCCCCTGCCTAAGTTTCTAAAAATAAAGCCGTGCTTTTACCAGAACATTGAAGAGGAAATCCCTGCACCCCATCAGCAGATGGTGCGCAGAGTTTACATGCTTTGGATGAGTAAGTGCAGTTGTGTAAAGTTATCAAGAAAAAAAAACTATACTTATAGTATGTTCCTTTTTTTCTGCTTTCTTCCACACTCTTCATTCTCATTTTTTCTGCAGTGTATTCAGGCACACTGTGCTTAAATGTGATCTCGTGTATTGCATGGTGGGCCGGAGGTGGAAATGCCTCAAACTTTGGGTTCTCCCTGCTTTGGTTCGTCCTTTTCAGCCCCTGTAGTTACACCTGTTGGTTCAGACCACTCTACAAAGCTTTCAGGTGAGTCAAATTTAATAACTGATGTACAGGGACGGCTGTGGCTCAGTGGTTAGGGGAGTCGCTCCTCCTAATGCGAGAGTTGGTAGTTGGATTCCATCACTGTTTGGTCACAAATCAAAGTGTCCTTGTGCAAGACACTGAACCCCACTGCCTCTGATGCCATTTAAATCACTCCTAAGACCAGTTGTAAATGGTATGAAGCTGTTGTGATGACGTGACAGAAGTGATAGGAGGTTCTGAAAGAGACTGAGGCAAATTTCAAGACATTTAGAAACAGCTATGATGCAAAGTCAAATTAATTTTTGATTTATACATATAAACAGCCTGTCCATAACAACTGAAGGTGACAAAGTTACTTTATTTTGGTATAGAATTGAACTACATATTTATGCAGGTATAATACGAAAAATTTAATCCATAAAATCATGCACAAAGTGTGGAAGTAATACTGATTATTAGGTATTATCTGTCTGTCCATTTTCCATTGTTTAGGTTAGGGTATGGTCCATTGTTTAGTTTTAAATGTTCCCATGCTTTTTATAATTTGTTGTTTTTTGGACGCTTCGTTTCGGCACTCTCCATCTTCTTCTGAAGCTAAATATAGCTTTTAGCAAGCATACACGTCTGACGCGTCGACAGTCCAAGGTCCTGTTTCTCGCCGGGATGTTTATTGTGCGACACCGCGGTGGACGTAAAAAATATATCTCTGCGCGGTCCAGTCCGGCTGATGTCCGCTTTGGCTGCAGCGAGGTGCACTTTTGCTCGAGTCCGCGCGGACCTCCGTGGACCGAAGTACGCCCGAGCAATGAGGTAAATATACCTCATTGCGCCCGAGTATGTGGGGGCCTTAACTGTTAGCGGAAGTGCTAACGTAGCATTGTGTAACACAAATAATATTCCAGGCGGACGAAAGTGCGCTGATTATAACAGTATGTAATTTTTACGAAGCGGTATTTTTGTAATCGAATTATTCGAGGAATCATTTCAGCCCTGCTGTAGTGTCC